AAGCTGTTTAAAGCCTGCCTTGACGTAGGTTTCGTCGTCCATTTCGAGGGGGACGACTCTATCTACGATGCAGAAAAGATTGTGTTTTGCTGTGGCTAGCTGCGCGTACGCTGAGTAGATAGAAAGAAGATTGATGACGATTCTGAAGATTTCCTGCAAAAAGATGATGCTCGATGCAAGTAGATGTGACAAATGAAAGAAGATTTTTCGAAGATTGATTCGCTAGTGTGAGCATCTTAACTCGAGATTTAGATGTGTCGCCCCCCTCGGTCCATTTCCACGCTTACTTAGTCAGCATCGTATATATAGCTTCCGGGATCATGTTTTGGTCGTCCGGCTCGTTTTTTAGCTCGATGCACGGTTGTAGACGACATTCCCAGCTTGTTTACGAAATCTCGCACGGCGAGGTTGAAACCACTGGCTACTCTTTTTGTCGTCGATGCGGCTTCCGGCTTTCGATTTTCCCCCGATCCAGGCTTCCTGGCGTTCGACAAACGTTTCCCGAACACTTTTAATACGTTGATGACAGGTGATTTGGCCACTTTTAACGATTTCGCTAACTTGGCGTGCGAGTAGTTTGGATTTTCGCGATGTGTGTGTACAAAATTTTGATGCGTTGCTCTTTCTGCTTGGACACCATTTTGATAACTGAAGTAGGATTGGGCGATCTTGGATTGATCTTTGGAAGATCGATCTTTTTCATCCCGATTTCCGATTTTTCGGATCGATTCTTTGTCCACGAAAAGATCAAAACAATCGATCTTTCTTTCGATCTTTTCGATCTTCAAAAAAAAAAAATAGGTTTTAAATTTTTTAAAGTGTATTTACATCTAAAAAACGATTTACTCTCACCACAGACTGCGTAGTAAATTTAACGAACATAATGTCAACATCAACGTCGCTCCCTACAATGACGTCACTATTTGCGTTTTCGATATTCACGAATACAGTAACATTTGAAGGTTTGTTCTACCTCCCTTTTGTGCTCATTGCTCCGTAGGGACTGTTCATAAACTACGTAGACCGTTTAGGGGGTTGGGAATTATCCACGGCCCATACAAATTTTAAAAAAAATTGTATGGACAATTTGTCAATTGTCGCAGGGGGAGGAGAGGGGGGGGGGGTCAAGAATCCTAAAAAAAACTGTCTACGTTTTTAATGAACAGCCCCTTACCGTCATGACAACATTTAATTGAATATTATACAGGAAATAATTTCTTGGGGTACCAACGTAAACAAGCGTATTAAAATAAAAATCAAAAGATCGATCTACCAAAGGTCGATTCTTTCGTATCGATTTAATCAGTGGATCGATTCTAGAGCCAAATATAAGATCGATCTTTCTCTGAAGATTGCCCAATCCTAACCTGAAGAGCAAATCAAGCTGAACACTACATTAGGTCCTAACAGAGGGTAAGTCACTCTGCCACCTTGTATGTGTGCTCATTGTGTGTTTTTGGGTGTCGGAAGGTATTTCTGGGTGCTTCATCGTATTGACCGAGTTGTCAAAATTTCAACCGAAAAAATAAATTTACTGGCAACCATATCCTCAACCATAACATAACGCTGAAAATGACAGAACCCCCTGCGATTCCTTTGCTGTTGTTTTTTTTTAAAGAAAAAGCACAACCGTCGGGAGGATTATTGGAGCTAAAATGACCGCAGTCTGGAGCTCCGGATATCAGAGTAAGACAATGAGAAGACTGCCAGCTTTACTACTGACTTGCTGCGTCAGAAGCAGTAGTAGAATTCCATAACCATTTCGCAACTGTAGTGATCGAATATTAATCAGCAGCGGCTACCGTTCAGTTCAGGGTAACTTGTCCGAACATTAGTTCTTGACACGGGCATTGGCCCTCTCGCTGCAGGAGGAAGACGAATGGGTACGTGCCACCCGTGAAAAAGGATCAAGCAAAGGGTGCATTTGCAATTAATTGGAGGGGCCGTGATTGGGCTGCCGCTGGTGAGAACCTAGGATTTACAATAAGAAACTTTTCCGTTGCGTTTTTCTTGATTTTCTTGCAAGACTTCTTTACCTTTTTTAGCATCCTGATGCCGCTGCTTTCGTTGATCCCAACCGGTTTAGTATTTCCTTTTCTTTGGATTGGAGGTACCAGAATTAATTAAAAAATTGCTTGTCATGTGGCGGAAGAGTGCTTGAAGTGTGTCGAAGTGTGTTTCTGTGGGTGTTAGCACAATGTGGCAGAGTGTCTTACCCCCTAAGTCCTAAGTAACATTGATCGATTCTCTTTGTCGACTTTCTCTTTCGTTAATAGCTTGGGCACATGACTGTTTCTTGTTGTGTTTGTCGTATTAGATGCTAGATAAAAGCTTCTTTTATCGATCTGTGTGCTGAAAATACATGAGAACGTCTTTAAATGGCCGTGGAGATACAAAAAGAAAGTCGACGAAGAGAATCTGTCAATGTTACTTAGGACCTAATGCAATGTTCAGCTCGAAATGTCATAACCGGAGAAAAAATACTACCCAAAATGTGAGATTTTTTTACTTAATTTTGAGTTGAGCCTTTCACTTGTACTCGTTATTGTTGTCAAAAATGGAACGAGAGATTCGACCCAACGATATAGTTCAGCCCAATAAGTTACTTTTGAGTAAATTGCATATTCTCAAATTTACGTGAATTGAACTTAATTTTGGGTAGAATATACTTAAGAATTAGTATTTTTTTGCTGGTGTTAAATGAAAACTATTATATGCGATTCACTCAAATTTGGGTTATTGGGCTGAACCCCGGAATTGATCGAAAAGTACTTACTTATGGGTAGTTCGTCATCTCCGTGTAGGCATCATTCTGCTCGCACAGAACTTCAAAATGAGGGGTGTTCAAGTTTTTTAAATGCTCGATTAAAAGGAATGCGTTTAAGTCGACCAATATTGATCGTAACACCTTTATTGACAATTAAAATATTGATCAACATATCAGGCATAACATTTGATAACGGCACAAAAGCATTTGTAAACAAACTTTCTAAGGCCCTTTACACGCGAACCAAAGTACGCCCACGCAAACCAATACCACTTTCGGAAAGGTGATAGTTTTTTTTTTTTTCCTTTGGTTTGTTTTTTCCGTCGATCTTGTTTTCCGTGCTGAGCACCAATGCTACCGACGTGCCAGGAAGGCAGCTCCCACATCTGGACCCTACCTATCGACCCATCAACTCATGAACCGGGGACCAACGGCTTTACTTCCCATCCGAAGGAAGGCGTGATCAGAGATGTTATGCCTCAGAACATCCCGGCGGCGCCGACTGGGATTGAACCCAGGCCTGCTGGGGTGAGAGGTAATCACGCTTACCACTACACCACCGGCGCCGTTGAAAGGTGATAGTTGTCCCTATCCCATGAAGTTGATGGTTTGCGTGTAAAGGGCCTTAGAAAGTTTGTTTACAAATGCTTTTGTGCCGTTATCAAATGTTATGCCTGATATCAAGAGCCACTCGAGAATCGCTCTGCCTCTTGTTGGCGATACTGCCATACAATGAAACCACTGGAAGCGGATCCCGTTCTGATGGAGGAGGCTTATTGGACCGCGGAAGATAAAGTGTTCATTGTGTTGTACCTTTTGACTATAGTTTTACGATGTTTTGTATAGTGAATAAGAATCCTCGGCTCTGTAAAGTTAATTCGATTGAGCCTTATCAAATAAATTAATAAACAACCAATATTTCCCCTCATTTTCCCGTTATGTTTGACTACAGATGGGGCCTGTTCCTCGACTACTTTTGCCAAGGTGGATACAATCCTGTTTGTGAGGAGCGACCCTGTTTTGATGAACCCCCGAAAATATTGATGGAAATATTGACGAAACCTCTGTCGTGTGGGATGCACTATACAAGTTCTGCTCATGGCTACATCAGGCAGAAAGGTGACGCATTGATTCGTTTTCATGTGTCCATCCGCGTTCTTATCAGTTGGCGGCGAGTTGAACAGTTGACTAAAGTAGCCATAATGTTTCCAGCAACAGCGGCAGCTGCTGCTGGATGACAGTCAGGTACAGATAACAAACACACATTCATGTTCACAGTGCAGCAGTCTAGGAAAGCGGGCGGGTAAACAGTAATTAAAAGTCGGATACTGTCCAAAAGGGGAGTTGTTTTGGGAAGTACTAGTTTTGCTATTCGGTGCGCTTTGTTTCCCATCGCGTCCAGCCTACTTTGTTCCCTTGAAAGTCAATATTTGCCGGTGCTCAGTGTAAACAAACTCTCTGTGATGTTTTTTCGAAGGGTGGGCGGTTCGGAGGGCAGTGTCCATCGAAAGGGTTAAGACTTTTACCTGCGGATCAAAATAATGGAATGTTTTGCTGCGCCCCATGGGCGCGCTATAAAATTAACTTTGGGAAATTGACAGCTCATTTGTTTATTCGCACCCTATCGCTTTTTGATAACGGTGATATGAGTGGATTCCTCATTAAACGGAGCAAATATTTGACGATCAACCCATGTGCATGCATGCGGGCAAAATTCAGCCTACTGCTCCGTTGTTTACCTTCGAAGGCGAGGGACGCACGCCGCACTTGACACCGGAAAAGTCACGTTCTCTAGTTTGCGCGATTACAAAATGATTGAGGGGGTTAGACACTGTTGCCAAAAAAAATGTTGGAATAGGAAACGCATACACACACACTAAGCAGAATCCGGAACACGCGTTATCAGCATTGTGTCTAAAATGTTCCGCTTGAGTCCAAGTCTAGTCGGCAGGCGGAACAGGTGACAGCTACTCGAAGCGTGACACTAATTCTGATGTGTTTGATTTTGTTTTCGATGCGAAAAAAAAAACCTGTAATCAGAAGAAACCGAAGCCGCCGACGGATGAATATGTGTGCGTGTGTGTGAATCGAATGAAATATATTGCAAGATAAGCGATGAATTTGATGTGAAGAAGAAGAAGAAGCATGCACCGTAGTGGCAGCGAAGGTGCAGCGATCGAAAATTCGTGTTGCAGTGCGAGATTGTTATCAGCTGATGTAATTTTCGTTTTAGGTTTGCAGCTGGAAGAAGAGGAAGAAACGAGTGCGAAAAAAAAACCGAAGAAGCAATCCAAGAGTGGCCGCAGGCCGTGGATTTGAATTTGTTTTGGTGAAAGTGCAAAGCCACGTGTTGGCGCTAGTGTTGCGTTTTAGTTTCGAAAAAAAGAACCGTGAATAGTGGGTGCAACAAAAAGCTGAATCGTTCGGAAAATAGTTGCAGCTGCTATTGTTCGAGTGCATGGAACCGTTACGCCTCGCCGGTCGAGTCGATGAAATTGGTTTTCCGTACTAACCTGAATAGTGTGTTAGAGTAAAAAAAAAAGGCAATTCAATTACCCGATAGAGAGTTTGTGTGAATCATTGGAGCGAGAAAGCCTCCATAAATTGCCCGCTGTACCTCCTCCCTGTGCGGGGCTTCCTACCCTAGATGCCGCCGCAGATTTTGCCCGCCTCGAAGATGCAATCCCGCGAGCATCCGTTCAACCGATCGACGCGCCCCCTGTTGGAGCGCCGTGCCAATATGGCGCAACCGCAGGTCCTCAGCAGTAAGCAGATAAACAACGTCAAAAAGACCCCCACTCGGGGATACAACGACTTCAACCTCATCACCCGGCAGTACGAGAACCTCAACAGCAACAAAGGCTACCCGTACGGTAGTCCACCGTCGCCCACTCAGCACACGCTGAACAATATTGACTTCCAGTTTTCCGATGTCAACGACCCTCGCTACCGCCCGGTAGCACCAACCACCAACAATCACTTCTTCACGGCCAGCACCAATCGCAACAACAGCGATCACGAAGACGACGATGACTACGATGAACTGGTCTATCATCACAATCAACTGAACGTTCAGGGTCCAACGCTGCCGCGGCGCCGCCTGATCGATGCCTCCTCCGGTGGAACTGGCCTTCCACCGCCGGTTCCTCCGCAGCGGATCGTCCCGGTTCAGACTCCACCGCCTCCGCCACGCGGGGACACTCCGGAAAATGACGGCCCGTTCGTATTTGGCGTCCACCATCCGAATACCTTCACGCCGGCTTACGACAAAGCCAAGGATGCAGCCGACTCCTCCGTCCAGGTAGGTCCCCTCCCACGATCATTAATCATCGTTTCGACGAAAATGCCAAAAATCTCAGGCTGCAGTCTGCCAGGTAGAATGCAATCAATTACCGGGGATGATTTAGTTGTTTTCGTCGTCTCCGTTCGAGCCAAGATTTGTTACTTTGTTTTCCACTCGGTTCGGGTGAGAAATTTATTGATCCACACCGAAAGTAGACTATGGCCTGGAATTCCAAGAACATGTGTTTTCTCACCGACTCGTCCCAGGAAGGAAGCCTTCAGGGTTTCACCATTTTATGGCGTGTTTTTGTCTGTGTCTGCTTCTCCGACAAAGTATAGGGGGACAGAGGAGATTTGCTGCAGCGGTCATTAAATTTACAGCAGCGCAGTTAAAGGAAGTTGATAGTTGCTTGCTGGGTAGTTTGTGCTAGTTGTTTTTATGGCAAATTGTCACCTTGCTTCGCCGAAGTCTTCTTGGCTTGACATACATAGTAGGCTTTGTTGAATGGATAACAGTTCCATTATCGCACCGATTATGAAAATCGTAGTAGTAGATTACAGAAATCAAAGCCACCACCACCACCGCTATTGCTTTGACTGCTTGCCAAAATTCACAACATCGAAATGCATGTCGCAATACGACACTGGTGGCGTGGTGGTGTCGCCATCGTCGTCAGACAGCGCAAACAGAGCCAAAGCAAAAACCGCCACCGCTCTAAACCAGGCTTTAATTTGTTATGTAAATATAGGAAATTAGTAGCGCAAAATTTTCCAGCAGTAGCTGCGGAGAGAGAGAGAGAGAGGAAATTAGTTCAAATTGTGTCACTTGTTTCTTCGTCTGACGACGACGAAGCAAGCCACTGTGTTTTTGCTCTCGGGCCCGTGAGATGAATGGATGCGAAATTGGGTAATTCTTTGGTGGCGGAGAGGAAGAACGTGCTTGGGCGTCTCGGTTTAGGAGCAATCGTCAGAGCTCTTGATATGGCGTTTTCCCTCGTTGATTTTGGATGCAGGAACCTCACAGGAGAGTTCACGTGTTTTCAAGGCACGTTTCTTCCGATCCGGGGGTTCCGGTTCCGGTTCTGGATGCGGGGAAGTTATAGTATTGACATGGAAATTTGATTTCGTAAAATGATGGAAGCTTCTTGAAACACGGTGCTGATAAAATGGCATCTGTTTCTTTTCTGAACATGATCAAATTTGAATGAGGCAATTTGTGAGTATTTTTTCAGAATATTAAAAGGGTTTCTTGACCTTTTTCGGTTTTTGTTTTTATGGATTATGAGCCGGCAACGATAAACGATCGCATCCTCGTGTTTTTTTTCAGTTACCATGGGGACGTCATTAGCCCCGGGCCCTTAAAAATTCTCTCTCTATTTATGAACGGCAAAAATGACGTTTCACATTCATCTATTGATGAATTTACGTTACGTTCGACCAGCAGATGGAAATGATGTGAAAATGATAATGACGTTTTGCTACCTGTCAAATCGTATGGAATATTTTTAGTACATCATCACTTTTGTGGTACTGGATTTTGTAAACAAAGGTGTATCCTATATCTACACCCTAAATTATTTCGGTGTACGGCAGTGTACACCGCGAAAACAAAAACGACATAGATTTCGTATAATTTGAATACATTACAAGAACTTAAGTTTTCTTTAAGATTCAATTTACGTTGATGCATTTTTTTAAAAATTCAAAAGCAGTTTTTTTCGACGCATTATTTTAGATTGCAAAAAGCTCGCGTCATTTTGTGTAAAATATCAAAAAGAATCGAATAGTGCGAGCTTTTTGCAATCTGAAATAATGCGTCGGAAAGGACTGCTTTTGAAATTTTCCAAGAAGCATGAAAGTAAATTGAACCTTAATTGATTATGATTCAAATTGAAAAAAAACATAGAGGTTTTGGGCCAACGGGAGAAGAGGTAGTAAAATTATTTTCACTCCTGCGGGTTTTGCCTTCAATCAATAAAAAAAATTCCTTTCTTTTAATTAGCTACGGGTGTGACTATGTTATATCTTTAGTTTATTTCAGCAACCTTATCTTCCAGCAGACGCTCTCGACAGCAATTTCAACATTTATAAAAAAATATAAATTTACCAGCAACACTGACTGGGTGTATCCCTACTAACATAATTCCTAAATTCCCGAGACATTTATGAGGGGTTGGAGATTTCTCTGCATCTCTCTTAAGTAAATGTTGGACTAACATACCTTTCCTATCCCTACCAGTTGTAAGGACGTGGCCAGGACAATCCTTAACTGTTGGAGCGGGATATGTCTTATCTGGGAGATAGTAATTATTTCCTACTTACTATCTGTCCAGTAATATATGTCCGTACTGCTCTTAATAGTTTTGAATTTATGAATATGAATTTTGATATTGTGCAACTTGTTCGATGCTAATGCTAATGCTAATGCTAAATCATCACTTTTGTGGTATTGGATTTCAAACCTAGGTGTCGCATGCACCGGTGCAGTTTCACGTAAATTCATCAATTGGCGAATCAAGGGCCACCCACAATAGTCCGTCACCGTCAGCGTCAACTGACAGCTTGGTTTGAGCCAACGCTATTCAGTTTAGCAACCCACAAAGATGCGTTGCGCTCACTGCGCGCCAGTACTAAAACGCTGACGCTGTGCTAAATTTTGAAAATTTTCAAAATTGACGCAGCGTCATGTTGCTGTTTTGTCACATCAGCGTAATCAGAAGCGTATGTTGTGCCGTGTTGCTTTGAACACATCATGGAAAACATTGTTAGTAGGAATTTGCATTTGTAAGAAGGGCCAACCCCAATTCCCAAATTTATTTTTTTTTTCAATAAAATACAACTAGTGAAATAGCTTTGTATACAATTTAAACTATTGCAATGTTTTATATATCCTTTAACAATATTGTGTGAATACATGTTTGGCCAACACATTTCGGTTAACGTATGCACATCGTGTCGTATTGTTGCCTCTCTGAAGGGCCGCAGAGTTAACACATCTCAGAGGATCAACTACTATAATGTACGTCATTCACCAGGTTCACTGACGTTCCCATCACCATCCCTCCTGGCTCTGCACAGCCGTTGATTGAAGTTGTCTTGAATTGGAGGTAGGTGGTAGGTGTTGACCTGGATATGGCCGGAGCAAGTTATTCTTAAGAGGAAATGCAGCACCCCCAACAATGAAATACGGCATCACTTCATTTGAGCCTGGTAACTTGCCCGGTGCTGGCAAATCAAACTCGCCATTCACCAATCGCCTCCTAAATTCCAAATGCTCGGATTTTTTTTTAAATATTAAATCTTCTACCAAAACAAATGATTAAAACGAGATTATGCTACTGTCAAAACGCAACGCGTGACGCATGATTGTGCGCAAGCGCTGCGTCAATGCGTCCGTCAGCATTTTTAGTACATGACGGATGCGTTGACGCTGACGGTGACGGTGACGTTGACGGACTATTGTGGGTGGCCCTTCAGAGCAAAGTCAAAACTGGTCATGCGACACCTAGTTTTCAGATCCGCAATTACATAAATGATGATGTACTAAAAAAAATTCAAGCTATTGACAGATATCAAAACGTCATTACCATTTTCACCCAGTCGTCATCTGTGAGTCAATCGTCACTTTGATTCTTCAATTCAAGCTGAAAATTGCATTAGGTCCTAAGTAACATTGAGAGACTTTCTTCGTCGACTTTCTCTTTGTATCCCCACGGCCATGTAAAGACATTCTCATGTATTTTCAGCAAACAGATCGATGAAACAAGCTTTTATATAGTACCTAATACGACAAACACAACGAGATACGGTTATGTTCTCAAGATATTAGCGAAAGAGAAAGTCGACGAAGAGAATCGATCAATGTTGTACCACAGACAGACATACAAATTAGTACCCTTGTACCATAGAGGTAACCCTAAGACTAGTAGGTCCCGAAGAAACGTGCGCAACTTTTTGGCTCAGCTCTGCACAGATAAAAATTCTGAATTTTAATTGTGATGTAAACATTCTTTCTCGTAAACTTAAATTTAATTTCACGCAACCGTTTTGTTGTTTACAAAGATGGGCTTTTGTACACAATATTTGCTACATTGCATGAAATATGTCAGAACTTTACATGATACATAATGTAAACTTATATTATATGTGACGCTCCATTTATGATGCACATTGAACAGAAATTTACACTACTTTTTCAAACTGTGTGGTACTATCTTCGGTCCCAAGCTAATCGATGCACCCCTCGAAACATAGGAAAATCCACGAACCCCTGATTTTATCTGTCAAAATTTCATAGGGAATCAAAACAAACATAGTGTAGTACTAGAATTCCGAATGGGAATGGGGTACGTTAATCGTTTGCTTGGGACCAATTGATGAATCTACGCGACGCCTAGGTTGGTGCGACGCCTAGGTTGGAAATTCAAAACCACAAAAGTGATGATGTACTAAAAAAATAGCCCATACTATTTGACAGGTAGCAATACCTCATTATCGTTTTCACATCATTTTCATCTGCTGGTCGACCGTAACGTAAATTCATCAATAGGTTAGTCAACTAGTGAGCCAATTTCAAATCGATAGTTTCGTATTGATTGTTGGTTGTACTAATTTAATCTAGTACCTCAAAAAGTACAATTTGTGGTACTAGCTTAAAGCAGTACAACCAAAACCTCTATGGTACAATGCTAAAGGGTGTCCACGATGAAATTGCCACACTATGAAATTGCTCTAACTTTTTAACCGTTGGGTAGAATTTAATGAAAATTTGGGTGGATTTAGTTCATTAAAGTCCTGTGATCAAAACTCGCGGAAATGGAGTCGAAAGAACAGCTCGTGCGGGATAAAATCTTGCGCATTCAGCACGAGAACAAGGATCTCTCGCGTCGTTCCATCGCTAAAACGTTGGGAATCGCGAATTCCACGGTGTCGCGAGTGATTAAGCGGTTCGAGGAACGGTTGACCACCGATCGGAAGCCCAGAAGTGAAGGAAAAAGTATTCCGTACAACACCAAAAAT